CATTATAATGGTTGATTGATTCCTCTTTAGTGCTCCAAAGTTGCTCCATTTGTTGTACATCAATGAAGTACTTAAATGGTGTTTTCTCATGCGATAAATTTGTATGTTCCCGCAACAAGGAATATTTCAAACTGGGGAGGGATATGTTAGCCTTCACTAACTCTCTTCCACCACCAAACTTACTCTTCTTTACATATAAGCTCCCCTTTCATTTTTCTTTCATTTTTCCCTCATCGCCTTTCAACATCAACTGATCATCATACACTTGTTGTGGTGTCAAAGGGACAAGTGTAATTGTTTTCTCATCCATGTTAAAGTTGTACCTATTTCTAAATCCATCATGCTTTACCTTCCTATCGTATTACCAAGGCCTACCCAATAATATATGTCCCGCATCCATAGGCACAACACCATACGACACTTCATTCTTATACCTCCCAATTGACAGATTAAATAACACCCTCTTGTTCACCTTAACCTTTCCATGGTCATCCAACCACTATAATCTACATGGTTTTGGGTGTTTAATTGTTCTTAAACCTAACTTCTCAATTAATGTGGTACTAGCTAAATTTGTGCATCACCACCAATGCATCCTCTTCAACTGGATACTCCATCCCACCATCATCACTAACATCTTCTAACTTAGGCATTCCATCTTCATCACTGTCACTCACCGCTTCCCTGCTATCTTTCAAAATCATTGCTCGTTTGTTTGGACACTGAGAAGCAATATGTCTTGTCCCCAAGCACTTGATGTCCAAATTCCTAGGTTGTTGTGGTTCCACCTTTGGTGCAACCTTGCCAGTGTTGTTATCCTTTCCCCTAGGTGGTTAAATTTTATTGTTGACAACAGCTTCATCAACCTTTTCTTCATCCCATCTAGACCTCCAAGATGAATTAGGCCCTTGTTGATTCCTAGTTCCCCATTTTCTCTTCAACTGCCTCTCAACTTTCATTACTATATGTAACATATCCTCTAGTCCATGTAATGCTACAATTTAACAACATTGGCAATGTCCCTGTTGAACCCATTTAGGAATTGTGCCATGGTGGCTTCCCGGTCCTCCTCCACATTAGCCCGAGTCATTATAATTTTCATCTCTTTATGGTAATCCTCCATACTCCTCGACCCTTGGTACAACCCCTGCAACCTTTGATGAAACTCCCTATAATAGTGGCCAAGCACAAACCATTTTCTCATCACCGCTTTCAACTCATTCCAAGTAGTTATCAGCCTCTCCCTATTCTTTCGCCGTGAAGTAACCACCTGGTCCCACCAAGTGATGACGTAATCAGTGAAGTCCAATACTGCAAGCTTTACTTTCTTCTCCTCCGAATAGTTGTGGCACTCAAATATCAACTCCACCTTTTTCTCCCACTCAAGAAATGCCTCTGGGTCACTCCTACCCCGAAATGTCAGAATTGACATTTTAATGCTACCCATACCTCCATCACCGTCGTCTTCTCCATAGTTTCTACCCCTTCGTTCAAACTTACCACCTCTATTCCTCATCCGTCCCATCTCTACTTCTTCAAGTTCATCATCATCCCATTCACTGTCATACCCATATTCATTTTGCATATCCACCCTAGGCTCTCGTCTAGCCGGCCTCCTACCGTGTGGTATGTCTGCCCCGTTGATCCCGGCTAAGGTTTGTAACCGTAGCATCTAGCCTGTCCAATCTATTCTCCACACTAATTATCATGCGCTCAAACTGCTGAATCATATTGCCTGTCATGTTATTTTGATTACCCATCCTACTCGAAGTGGATACTTTCCGTTCTAACATTCTCACAAATTTTCTGCCTCACCAAAATTTCACTTGGGAATCACTTAATATTAGGCTTTACCATCAATTGAACTTACCACTCAGCCTTTTACCTCTCAATCGCTTCCAATCAATGATCTCAAGAACAATTACTCGGGGTGAAATTGTGGGGTAACAATTGAGTTGTGGAAGATTCAAGATTATAAAATTGAAGGACTAAGAAATTAAATAAAATTTTTGGAGGGGCAACAATTTTTTTTTTTTTTGTAAAGCCCGTGAACAGAGCTACAGTATGGAACAATGCGTGAACAGTAATTTTTTTTTTTTTTTGCAAAAACACAAAACAAATAAACTACGAAAGACAAAAAGATCTAGGACTCAAAATTAACGGGAAACATGAAGAACAAAACAACAACTCCAAAATAAGAAAAAAAAAAGGGATATAACTTTGATTCTGGTGCCTAAACTCTGATACCACTTGATGTGAACGCGGATAGCTAGATCACTATTAAACCCACAAAAAATGACACAAATCCCAAGAAAGCTAAAAATCAAAGTTTGGAACTCAATTCACAAGTTTGAGGGCCAAACAACCAATAGTATATTAAACTATTAACATTTTGATCACGAAACTTATAAATTTAATGAGGATTTGGAGTTAACTCAACCAATTAATGAATCAAACAACCCCAAGGTAACAAAGACACGAAGGACCTTTTGATTACACAATTAACTAAATCTTACCCGAGTTTTGAATGCCACAAGATCGCGAATAAGTTCGGTTATTCCACACAAGAACAAATATTGGAAGCGAAAAAGCCTCTCGAATTAATTCTCAAATACAAAGAATGAAATACTCCTATTTATACTAGAACTTAGAAAATAATTAAAAAGGAAATAAAATCCTAAAAACCTATTCTTAAATAAAGTAAAACACGTCCCAAATAACTAAAAATATTAAAAATAGTAGAATCCTAATTAAATAAGGAGACATATCCTAAAGGACCACAAAACTGTCGGCCAACATGGAATTCTATCAATTTTTGGTAACTTGCACAAAATTGGAACTTTCTGCCGAATTTATTGAAGTGCGGATCACATCAATGCATAGTTCTGAAGATTATTTTTTGGAACAATTGCAAAAGCATCTTCGGATTGAGGAAGAATCGAGATTGTATGACAAGAGTGAAAACTCCTTTGAGAGAACTTCCAAAGCCAATGTTGTTGAAAAATCTGAGCCGCCTTCGAAATCCAACAAGAGGAAGCCTACAAGGAACTTCAATAAGTCCAAGAAGAAGACCAAATGAGGGTATTTTTTGTGTGGAAAAATCTGGACAATATGCAAATGATTGTAGACGCTGAAAAAGAAACAATTCCAAAGGTAAAATAAATTTCATCCAAGAGGACAAAATTGTAGTCACCGTAAGTAAAATAAATGCAATCAAGGGAAAAGTTCCCAAGTGGTGGTATGATACTTGTGTCACTGTACATATATCATATGATAAATCTTTATTCAAAACATATCACGAGATGGATGGAGACCAAGAGATTCAAATGGGTAACGAGGTTCGATCCAAGGTTATTAGAAAAGGGAATGTTAATATCATCTTCACTT